TGTCGGCTCTTTAATAAAGAAAGATAAGATAAGATGTAAAGTGTCGGTAATAAACAACAAAACAACAAAACAAATAAAGAATCACTGACGTCATTAAAACTTCAGGGTTGCCAATCTCATAGGATACTCGATTAGCACGCTTCGGCACATCTAAAACATTCGGCACAGTTTGAGTAGAAATATGCCATTTTAAAGTGTTTTCGGAGGGGTTATTTACATTTGCGTGCCTAACGCCTAAATTTGCATAGATTTCAAAATTCAATTAACTCTAAAAACATAATTTCTCAATCTTTTCCTTCACAACAAGTTGCATTTCGTCGGGAATCTATTGAAGTTTTTGAATCCATCTGAAAACATTTAGATTAATACATGGTTCCGGAGTTATTCCGGTTCCCGTTGGGGTCACTTTTGGTCGGCATTCGGCTTTACTGTTCTGTAATAAGTATACACACGATGAACATCATGTTTTTTTTCTCTCAAATGATGTAATTGAACCAATGGCAGCTACACTGACGTTCCACGGTCACATTGGGCATCCCGGAAATGTTCCTGTGTCCCCGACAAGAACCAAAACCTATCGTGCGACACATCAAACTTCATGATTTTACAAATCTTGGCCGGTAATGGCCTTATTGAGAGTCCACGGTCACACTAGCCCTCCCGGGCATGTCCTGGAGCCCCTGGGGAAGTGGCCAATTCTCAGTAAGAACAAAAACCTATCGTGCCACGTATCAAACTTTATGATTTTAAAAATCTTGGCCGGTAATGGTCTTACTGAGAGTCCACGGTCACACTAGCTCTCCCGGGCATGTTCTGGTGCCCCCGGGGAAGTGGCCAATTCTCAATAGGAACAAAAACCTATCATGCGACATATCAAACTACATGATTTGACAAATTTTGGCCGGTAATGGCCTTATTGAGAGTCCACAGTCACACTAGCCCTTCCGGACATGTTCCGGTGCCCCCGAGGAAGTGGCCAATTCTCGACAAGAACCAAAACCCATCGTGCAAAATAAAATTCATGATTTTACAAATCTTGGCCTGTAATGGCCTTAATGAGAATCGACAGTCACACTAGCCCTCCCGGGAATGTTCCGGTGCCCCCGGGTAAGTGGCCAATTCTCCACAAGAACCAAAACATGTCATGTGACATATCAAACGATCCCATTGGCCCTCCCGGGTATGTTCCGGTGCCACCAGGTATATTTTCAATTTTTAGACAAGAACCAAAATTCGTCGTGCAACATATCAAACTTCATAATTTTGCAAGGCCAGCAATGGTCTTAGACAATCCACAGTCCCATTAAATTGGACCTTCCAGGCATGTTCCACTGCCCCCAGAATTAAGAGTGGAATAACTATGAACAACAAAATCAGGCGTTTTTCTGGGTCCTGACCATGTAATGCGTGATTAACGAAAATTTTAAGCGTCAATTCTTAATCCGTTGAATTAAATTTTAATAACCTTTGCGGACTAATAAGAGTGCTTTTGAGGACATTTATTGTGTATCTTCATGTTGCAAGAATGTGATATTAATTCATGCTGAACATTGCATTAGGTCCCAATTAACATTGATCGATTCTCTTCGTCGACTTTCTCTTTCGCTAATAACTTGAGCACATAACGGTTTATTGTTGTGTTTGTCATATTAGATGCTAGATAAAAGCTTCTTTTACCGATATGTATGTTGAAACTACCTGGGAACGTCTTAAAATGGCCGTGGGAAAACAAAGATAAAATCGACAAAGAGAATCTGTCAATGTTACTTAGGACCTAATGCAATGTTCTGCTTGAATTACTCAAGGTCTGACCCAACTAGCATCAACTCAAATTAGGTTCAGTGGTTATCGAGATATGTGGACTCTAAATAAGGCCAATACTGGCCGAGTTCGGCACAAGCATGAAGTTTTATATGTTTCACGACGGGTTTTGGTTCTTGTCAAGAATCGGCCACTTACCCGGGGACACCGGAACATGTCCAGGAAGGCCAATGTGATCGTGAACTCTCTATAAGACCATTACCATCATATAAAATGTTATATATCACACGACGGATTGCGGTTCTAATCGGGAATTGTCCACTTCCTCGGGGTACCGGAATATATGCGCGAGAGCCCCAATTTGATGGTGGGCTCTCAATGAAACCAAAACTGTCAGAGTTACATTAAGGTGTTTCGCTGTGAGATCCTTATTCTCGTAGCCACTTCTAAACTTTGACTGTAAAAATATTAGCTTCTACGGTACGTACCACAAAGAAACTGTTACTCCACGTTTGCTGTACTGCAGCATACATGAAGTAGCAATTTCAGGTGAAATGGGGCATTATTTTCCGATATGTGTGTAATTGAAAATTCGAAGTGGAAGTGCATGTATAGCCTACGTGGTGGCCATTTGAGGACTCTACAAGGAATCACTCTAAATCTTGAAGTTTGATGTATGGCGGGTTATGGTTCAGATCGAGAATTAATAATTTCCTTGGGGCACTTGTACATTGCCGGGGGCACTGGGACATTCCCGGGATGGCGAATATAACCATGAACTATCAATTAGACCATTACTGACCGAGATCAGAAAAATTATGAAGCTTGATGTGTCGCACGAAAGGTTTTAGTTCTAGCTAAGAATTAGTCACTTCTCCGAGGTCACCGCAGCAAGGTCAATATGACTGTGGGGTTCTATAAGGTCATTGACGGCCGAGTTTTGAAAAACCATGAAGTTTGATATATCGCAAATCGGGTTTTAGTTCTTGTCGAAAATTGCCTACTTCTTCGGGGCACCGGAACATGCCCGTGGGAGCTAGTGTGACCTTTGACTGTCAGTAAGGCCATTACCAGTTTTTTTTGATCTAGTTGAGAATTGGCCACTTCCCCGGGGGCACCGAAACATGCCCGGGAGGGCTAGTGTGACCGTGGACTCTCAATAAGGCCATTACCACCCAAGATTTGTAAAATCATGAAGTTTGATATGTCACACGATGGGTTTTGGTTCTTGCCGAGAATTAGTCACTTCCCCGGGGGCACCTGAACATGCCCGGGAGGGCTAGTATGACCATGGACTCTCAATAAGGCCATTACCGGCCAAGATTTGTAAAATCATAAAGTTTGATGTGTCGCACGATAGGTTTTGGTTCTTGTCGAGAATTGGCCACTTCCCCGGGGACACAGGGACATTTCCGGGATGCCCAATGTGACCGTGGAACGTCAGTATGGCTGCCATTGGTCCAATTACATCACTGATTATCCTCATGAAAAACCATCGGTTCCTCCGTCTCCCATCCCAGATCCTTAAGAAGCCTTGTCAGCCATATTGCATGGCACGCCACATTGCACAAAGCCATCAGCTCCACTTCCGTTGAGGACAACGCCTCTGTTTGTTGCTTAAAGGGTGTCCACGATGAAATTGCCACACTATGAAATTGCTCTAACTTTTTAACCGTTGGGTAGAATTTAATGAAAATTTGGGTGGATTTAGTTCATAGTGCATTATTTACATCCTGCAAGTTTTAAAGTCCTGTGATCAAAACTCGCGGAAATGGAGTCGAAAGAACAGCTCGTGCGTGATAAAATCTTGCGCATTCATCACGAGAACAAGGATCTCTCGCATCGTTCCATCGCTAAAACGTTGGGAATCGCGAATTCCACGGTGTTGCAAGTGATTAAGCGGTTCGAGGAACGGTTGACCACCGATCGGAAGCCCAGAAGTGAAGGAAAAAGTATTCCGTACAACACCAAAAATCACAACCGCGTAGTTGGGGCCTTCAACCGAAATCCGAACGCCTCCGTTAGGGATGTGGCTAAGAAGCTGCACCTAAGCCGAAGTTTTGTCCAGAAGGCCAAAACTAAGGCTGGGCTTCGAACGTTCAGGCCCCTAATCGCGACGAGAAGCAGAACAAGTCCGCCAAAACCCGTGCCAGGAAGTTGTACCTCAACATGCTGACGAAAGTTGAATGCTACATCATGGACGACGAAACATATATGAAGACCGACTTCAAACAGATCCCCGGCAACCTGTTTTTCACGGCCAAGGATAAGTTCAGCGTTCCGGAGCATGTCCGCACTCAGAAGATGTCCAAATTTGCGAAGAAATTCCTGGTTTGGCAAGCCATCTGCACGTGCGGGAAGCGGAGTGCACCTTTCGTGACCCAGGACACGATGAACAGACAGGTGTACATAAAAAAGTGCCTCCAGAAGCGGCTGCTTCCTCTCCTGAAGGCCCACAACGTCCCAACAATCTTCTGGCCGGATTTGGCCTCATGCCACTACTCCAAGGACGTGCTGAAGTGGTATGCGGACAATAAGGTCAATTTCGTGCCGAAAATGTTCAACCCTCCCAACACTCCGGAGCTCCGCCCCATCGAGAAGTACTGGGCGATTATGAAGCAGCACCTTCTTAAACGACCTAAGGTAGTGAAGACAGTCGAGGAACTGAAGAAAGTATGGGTTTACATGCAAAAAACGGTTGATTCACAGGTTATGGCCGGGGTTAAGGCCAAGGTGCGGGCATTTGCGTATGGACTGTAAATAAAATACGAGTAAAATGGTAAAATGAAGTTTAATAGTTATTTCTCAATCCCTGAAAATTTGATGGCAATCGGATGAAAACTCGAATTTTGCGAATCAATTTTGTGTGTGGCAATTTCATCGTGGACACCCTTTACGCGTCATCCATCTTACAGTGCGTTTACGGTTGCATAAAATAGGGGAAATGGATGTAATGTCGGGCTAAATGCCCCTAATTTGGGCCCATACATAAATCCAGCAACCGACTAAATTTTCAATAGCGATCAAAAGTATCCATTAGCACCGTATTAGTGGGTTCGTCTAGATAAAATTGATAAATATCAGATTTCTAGCGATGGGCCCAATCTTAGATCCATAGGCCAACATTAGAGCCATTTCCATTATGTAATGCTTTTTGAACCAACAAAATTCGACATTCAAACCAACCAAATTCGAGTTTATTCATGCGTGTGTGACTCTCCCTTTCTCCCTCTTTCCAGGACATCCCCCGCAGCACAAAGTGTCGCTACAATCGGTCTTCCAACGCTGCCGCCGCCGCATCCAGCGGAAGCAGCACCAACACATCACCATTCATCGCCTCCGGCACCGGTCCGGCTCCGCATTCCGCCTCGTCCTACAGCGGAAATCGGTCCTTCGGGCTGGGTTTCGCTACCGCCAACAGCAACTACAACTTTGGCCGGTCCAGTTCGTTCCGATTGCACCGGAACAAACCGGCCTACACCGAACATCGGCCACCGTCGGCGACCGTCGGGTTCCATTCGCTTTCCGGAAGTAGCAATCAACACCAGCAGCAACAACTGCTAATCAACAACATTCGCAACCAGCTGGGTGGGTCCGGTAGTGACATCGGGTTCGGTGTTGGAAGTGGTGGTGGTGAAGAAGACCAGGGTATGAAGAATTTAAGTTTGATCAAGAGTGCCATAGTGGATCGGTCGCCATCGTCGTCGGCACTGGTGGGGATCGCGGGCAGCGCGGGTGTCAGTGGAGGTTTGACAGTGATCGGATTTCCCGGACCGGCATCGATCAATCGGTCAAAGTCGAACTCGAAGATCGACGATCGGTCGCCAACGTCGTTCGAGATGCAGAACTTCGAGTATTGTGCTAAGGGCGGCGGTGGGAGTGGCAGCGGAGCCGGTCGGAATTACAAAATTAGCGGTAAGTCTTGTTTTGTTTTTTTTTTTGTTTTTATAAATTTATCGTGACATTCTTGGATGAGCCCCATTTTCCTGCCATGTAATCGAAAATGTCGGCGTTCTAAAATTGGATGGTGAAAACGTGTGCCACGTGAAAACGGTGTAACATCTGTACTAACGAGCAAATTTTGCCTGTTGACTTTCCTGCGTAAGAAGCTTGAATTTGCATGTTGTAGGCACTTTTGTGTTGTTCTTGTTGGAGACTGGAGAGCAATGTCAAGTAGCGTTGATGGTACGCCGGTGGCACCGGAGAAGGTGAAGTGCCAACGTCGTCGTCAGCATCGTTATTTTTTTCTGCACCGATACCGATGCAAGAGTACGGGAGGGGGGTCGGTTTCCGTTAGCAGAAGCATAAAGGATGAGAGCAACTTCCGATAATTGAATGGAAAAGCGGTTTATTGATTGCGAAAGATGCTGATTCAGCACAACAAGGAGAAAGGATACACACCGGGTGGATTGGAGTCGGATTTCTGCTTTCGTCATATTTCAAGTGTGCTTTATTTGCTTTTGAGATTGATGAGGCAGTTTCAGTTGCTGATGATCAATAGTCGTGAATAATTTGATTAGAAAACAGAGGAATTTGTTTGGTGATTTAAACTGTTGGCTTTCGATAAACGACAAGATGAGGTTGTCAAATATTGAAACAGGGAATCGAAGATTTCAAGTGGCATATTTCAACAGAAGAGTAATCACTGTTTGAAGGCGCCTCGATTTCAAACAAAAGACAGATATGCTGCTTATTTCGCAATATTGTGGTGGGTGGATGGGGTTGATTTATTGCACTAAAATGTTACCCCTCTGTTTTGAAAGTTTGCCAAGGAAATGCCGTGGATAAAATGTATGATAGTCATTTATTTAAGTAGATTTCGGCACCAATTTACGGCCTAAAACTCAGAAATTGCAGCAGCTTGCTTTCTATAATAAATAGTTGATAGACTTCAAATAGAAGTCAGGACCGAGAATAAATCCCACAGCTCCATTATTAAGCAAAATTCATCCACCTTCCATTTGGCCCTGCGAGCCGTTCGAAAGCAACCGTTCTTCTACTTTGTTGATTAAATGCCCCAGCGCGCAAATAAAACTGTCCATTCTGGTAAATGACGACCGTTTAATGTATCGGAATAATCCTCCACTCTGCGCGCGGACGACGACGACGAATAACGACAATGACAAAGCTAAAGAATTGGTTTCACATTCTCCGCTACAGGAATACTTCTTCAGCCCAGCAAAATAAACGAAAAGACCAAAATTTATATTCCCATCGAGAACAGAGAGCTTTTGCTCCTCATTAAGGTCAAAAGCCATCATCAGCATTGGTGGTTTTCTTGTGTCTGTGTCTTCGCTCCTTGAGGGACTTTCCTAGCCCTATTGTTGTGATGACGTCTCGGATCTGTTCTAGTCAAGAATTGAAAAGGAAAAGCAAATATTAACTTCAAGAGGAGGACAATCTTTCTCAGCTGAAGCTGCCTGCCCCTTGCCTGTCTGACCTGCAACCCACCACCATTACCAGCGTAGGATATTACTCTTGCTGGGAAAGTGTCATCCGAAGGACAAACCGTTCATTACGGTTACTGCATCTGCGTAGGACATTTCCTTCCCGCCTTCTGATGTTGCTGAGAAAGGCTGATCCGAAATAATTTCCGACAAATCATAGAGTGGGCAGTGAATTGTTATATCGATTGCTTGCAAAGGTCATCCGATATTTTAAATGCCAAATGACCCTAGCAGAATGCCAAATTATGGCAGCCCTTACCTTGCTAATCATGACCGAATTATTGTGTGACGACTGTTAATCGTAGCGACGTTTCTCGCTGGCATCACTGGTCATCCGAGTCCGACTAGCGCACTCGTTTTAGTGCTGGCGCCACTATATCATTATTGTGACTGCTGTGATTCCGTTTCAGTATTGGGGAAATATAAAAAAAACCAAATCTCACCAATACCCAATGTCACGCTTGATTTTCGTAGACAGAAACCAACAAGCAAGCAACTGTGGATGATATTACAAGTTGTGATATCGTAGCTATGAATATCAAGCTAACAAAACTCATCAGCTACAATTCTAGCCCAAACCGTGGTGAGTTTGACCTGACACTACCGTCACTGCTGGCAGCAGTAGCTTCGTGTCTGCCATCAGTGAAGAGTGAAGAGAGATAGCAAACTATACTTTCTCTTTCTAGGAAAACGTTGTGCAACGGAATCATTTTTGTGTCGAGTCAACTCTCAGCTTTCTTTTGAAATTTTGTTAATAGTCTCACAAAATCAAATGAGCTTATAAAATCAATCATCAAGCATAATATTTTGTTCCAATACCACGAGTGATATTGAGAGCGTAGGAGAGCGGAAAAAAACATCATGTGGTTGATGATTTTGCCAACACTGCTCCGTTTTGATTTATTTTGCTTCAAGAATGTTTTTAGACCGTTTCTGGCCTCGGCACGTTGGATGTTACTCGTTGATGTTCCCAATGTTCTCAACACTCAAACAGAGGCACTCTTCTTATTGGGGGCAGCTTGGGTGCTCTTCCGGTCCCGGTTTCCGATCAGATTTCGGTGAGTCCTGCTAATTATCCTCCTCCCCCAATCTTCCAGATGATGGTTCGGGCTGGTCCGATACTTACTTACTTCGCCAATTTCCTGAGGGCTTAGTCATGATATTGGAACATGACCGTTGGACGGCGGCCACATCGTTTTTCCGGATGCAGCTTTTGATCCTGTTGGTGAGTTGCTGGGTGTCCTTGACCTTCCAATTATACTCCGGCACTGCGGCAAAGTTGTCGGATTCCGGTCTTTTGGCACATATAATGTTGGCTTTCCGCAGTACTTCCGGGTCATCCAGCGGCATTGGCATCTCACGGTTTGGATTTGCTCATCAGTGTACTCTGGGGATCTGATTTTTTTTTCCACACACTATTTCCTCCTTCTTTAGAGTCTTGCAGATGTGTGACTTCTAACTACGGAACCTGCTGGCCGCTTCCCGTTGACTTACCGAATCCTTGGTGTTGAACATGTTGTGCGGCGAACGAAGCGTCTTCTGATTCATTATCTTTGTTAGACGACCATGCCAGGATACGATATACGGTGAACACCGGAACATTTTCCCTCATAAAATGGTCCACCGTGTACTTTTTTCCACGATCTTCGTTCGCTTGAAAGAACGAACAACTGAACAAGTTAGAGTGAACTAAAGCGTTTCTGGCAACAATTTTCTGGCGGGTGTAAGGATTCATTCACCTAAGGTGACATTTCTCTGCGAACATGTCTATTCTGTTGAAAAAGTATTGGAATCATTCTCATCATTCTCACGTACCTGCGACAGAAACGTAACCGTTACATTTGATAACAGGGTAAACTTTACGCATTTTAATAGAAATTAGTTGATATGACCACTGCAGTAGCTCTATCAAACATAACCTCTCCTCTAGCCTGTTATTGATTTTTGAGTTTGCATTGTTGGAAAAATATATAACTACGGAATACGACATTGAAATAACCAGAAAACGGTACCGTTACAAATGCTAACCATTTATTAAGATCTGATTTTAAATTAGTTCTATAAATTAGAAACAACAACAAATATTTGGCATTGTGAAAAGCGTCGCAGAATATCTCGATAACCACGAATTAGGAGAATGCAAGACCAACAATTGAAATGGCCTTAACTCTATTTTGTAAACAAACCTTGTAAGGCCGTTTTTTCGCGAACCGAAGTCCGCAAAGGCAAACCAACATAATGAACAGGTAGGGAAAATTCTCCTCTACCCGATTGTGGTTTAGGTTTGCGAATGAAGGTTTCGGTTCGCGAGAAAATGAACTGATAAGGTTTGTTTACAAAATGGAGTTAAGGCCATTTTAATTGTTGGTCTTGAATGTTCAAAGCTCAGTAACTAACAATATAGGTACTTACTAACTATAGCTGCTGGTAGCATTCGCCATGAAAACAGTTCCATATCTGTAAAGTTTTTAGCATCAGATTGATATATTTTAAGTAACGGGTGTTCAATAAAAAATGAGATTTTTTTCAGTCAAAGCTAGTAAAAAAAACGAATTTTTGTTTTCAACGATTTCAGTATTTTTTTTATTAAAGTCATAATGTTTATTCTTCAAAAAAACGTCAATGAATATTGGAGAAGGGGCCCTGTTCAGCCGTACGACGCAACTTAGTTGCGATGCTCTCACAAGAGCGCTGGACTTCAGTGCCGTCATTCTCATTTTTTATTGAACACCCGTTATTAAAAATTTCACTGGCAGCGCAGCAATCTCCTTTTTATACCTGCGCCATTTTTTAATTCCGGTAAAATTTGGATTAGAACTATTTACCCAGAATCTGGGTGGATTTTTCTCATCATAACACAACTAGTTTACCCAGATTTTGACAACTCCTTACTAGATACAAGAATGGGTGCCATCCACCCAGTCACTGGGTAGATTCAGAAAAGCGTGTAGAAGTGTGTATGAACACAGTTGTTGGAAGCCTTTCATCATTCATTTACAACTTTGAATTTTCTTGAACCCTATCTGGTTATCACTTAATGCTAGATACGAAAAACGCCACTCAATGTTTATTGCAAAGAAACAAACACAAGGATTTGTGGATGATGAGATTAGAGCCACTGAACGAGCGAAGTGTATAAGCCCACGCACAATTAATCATTTTGTTCGACCATTTTCCACAGAGATGGCGCAGTTCCGCTGGTAGGAAGTGATAAAAATCCCAATATATTTCTAATTGAGAGAAGTGGGAATAATTTGCTTTCGGTGCATATTCAGGTGACAAAAGTGAACGACAACCTAATGAAATTAGTCAGGGACTTTGTCGTTCAGTTTTTTCCCGGAAATTATTGTTAAACAAGCTACAATTAATTAAAAATGATTTTTCCTCATACAGTTTCACCTGCTTTACTTCCAGTTCCCAGAGAGAAAAAAATTTCAAATTTGAGAGCGAAAATTTGCTCTCACGACC